TATAGTATATTTATATATTTTAATAACATAACATAAAAATATATAATAGTTTAAATTATAATATATTTTTAATATGTGAATATCTTTTGAAAAATCATTTAATAAAATAGACTTATCAGCTACAATTATTAATTTAGCTCTAAGACCTAATCCACTTTCTCAATTCTAAATCTAATTCAATGTGTTGGGTTAAGCCATTGGATCAATGAATCTAATAAACATATTATTAAGTAATAGAAATTTTAAAAATTAAAAATTAAAATTTTAAAATTATAGTATAATATTTTAAAAATTTAAATAATTAATTTTATGTTAATAAACTTAAAATATTTTAAAACATGTAATACGTATGAATATGTATAAAAAGTGAAAAAAAAACATAATTCGTATAAAAATATAACAAAAATAAAATAAAATAAAAGATATATTTAAAAATAATAATATAAGAATATAAACATAGATAATTTAACACCTGCATTTTTATTAGCATATATATATGTAATAATATTTTTATATAAATAAATATAATCATATTAATATTACATAATAATATTTATTAGATAAATTTAACAAATTAACGATATTAATAAAACAAATAATATTGATTTATTTTAAAAATAAAATTAAAATATTAATGAGAATAAAAAGTTAGATGAGAAAAAACTATCAAACTTTTATATATATATATAAGGAAAAAATGTATACTCTAACATAAAAAGAAACGAGAAGAGTAAATTAAGCGTATCTCGACAACAGGGAATGTAATTTACGAATAAATATAACATAGCAATTTAACGATGAAAAATTATTATTAATTCAATTTATATTTTTTATGCTGGGAAAATATTAAACTGGGAAACTGCTAAAAATTTGAATGGATTGTATTGAGCGTCTGGGAGGTGAGGTCTAGTTAACGGATGAAGTTTCAATCTGTATATTTTTCTTACATTTCCGTACTTTCTATATGTAATTAAAATAAATCCTATTTTACTTTATCCATTATCTTTATCAATTTTCTTCGTTCAATAAATTTTGTCAATGGTGTGAATTTTTTACAAACGCAACTTTTTTTGGGATTCTAATTTTTTGGGAAATATTTATAGCGTTATTTTTGTACAAATCCCTTTATTTATATTTCAAAAATTTAATTTTATTCAATTTATTAAAAAAAAGGTGCTCTAAATAAAAAGTTGGCGTATTTTTTAAAATAAAAGCGTCAATTATACCTTTTTCTTTTCTTTTTAAATTATATATATATATATATATTTTTTCTTTTTAAAATATATATATTTAATTATTATGAGTCATTATATCTTTTTAGTGACATCATGTGATCATAGATGACAAAAATTTGTTTTATTTTGGTTCATTCGGATTTTGAACCGTTAAAATTGGATGAAACGGGCTGACCTACTTTAATTATATAAAAGACTATAGATCTTGAATTCTTGTCAAAGGTAGACTGGTCCATCATAATTAAAAAAAATATATTTTTTTAAAATCAAAATTTTCAATCAATTTAATAATAAGATTATGATTTGTTTGTCAATGATTCAATTTATATACTTCAAGTTAATAATATAAATCAACACATTATTTTAAAAAATTATAATTTAGAACAATAATAAAATTTATAATAATAAATGATAACAAATATATATAAATAATGTCATAAGTTATAAAATTTATATTTTTTATATTGAAAATTTCAAATACTTATGTCTTTTTATTTGATAAAACTTCACATTGTTATCTTATTGAGTAATTCTTACATATTTAATTTAAGTCATAAGGATAAAAACAATCAATACTTGGGATGAATAAGAAGGAGATGATGAACAACTAGGGATGGATGACAATACAGGGCAGCTGACCCTGTTTTGGTCCACCAAAAGTGGGGCGAACGAACTAACCCACTATAGTCATGACAGGATACAAGCCTTGGCCCGTCAGTCAAAGGCAGGCTAGCCCGCCATATTTATTTTATTTTTTTAAAATTAAAATTTTTAATAAATTTAAAAATAATATTATGATTTGTTTGTTAACAATTCAATATATATTTTAAGTTAATAATATAAATTGAAGCATTATTTTAATAAATTATATTTTAGAACAATCAAATTAAAATAAATTTTATATAATAATAAATACATGTAAGTAACAATAAAAATTTATTAAATCTTTATTATTTATATTAACAAAATTCAAACATCTAAAATGAAAATTACATTATATTTGTTTATTTATAAAACTTCACATTTTTTTCTTTTTTAGTAATTCTCATATTTTCAATTCAAAACAATCAATGTTCGAGTCATTAAATGCAGTATTTGAAGATCTCTCTACTTTTCCATTTTTGTCATTCTCTTCCCATCTTCAACAACACATGAAATTGAAAAAAAGAAAAAATTAATAAAAAAAGGATTATAAAAAAAATATTTGAATTAAATGAATGATTTTCATACAAGTCATGTTTCTAATTTAAAGTACAAATTATTGCTTCCACATTATCTAGCAAAAGACGATTTTTGTACTTATTAAGAATCCTAAAACCAATACTAAATACAAATTGAGAAACAACTTTAGTAGTAATAATAAGTATACTTAACAAATTTCTAGCAAATAATGAAAGATCAGAAAAACGTTGACTATTATTCTTCCACCATTATAAAACAATCATATGTTTTGTAAAATCAAAATCCAATGTTGGCTCATCCAAATATACATCAAGTTTATTTTTTTTAATTCTATATGTAGCTTAAAGATTGTACTTTTTTAATTCCTAATATGATAAATAAATAAAGAAGTTAAAATATTAATTGAAAATTCATAAAAAATAATTGAATTGGAGTAATTAACTTACATCAAAGAGACTTTTTTAAGATGAAATATCAATATGTTTGACTTTCGAACATTTGAAGTTGTACTTTTATTATAATATTAGGATATAAACATGTACAATTTTTTCTTTATTTTCTCTAACTTTACTTTACAAGTAAGTGAATCAATTATTTTATAACAAAATATTAATGTTTCCAACTTCATCGTTGGGTCTTAAATTGCATCAAATGCAAGTACAACACTATATTCATCCCAATATTTATCAAATTTCATCCTCATTTTTTTACTCATGTCCCTTACAACTTCATTTTCATCTTTGCATTTTCCATTAGAAGACATTAAATTTTTCAAACTTGTAAAAAATACATATTAGAAATAAGATAAATTGTAGTTGAAATTAAAATAGTTATATCATAAAATGACAACAAGAAAACACTAATATTTTTTACTCTTCTTCAGAAGGACAAAACTTATAATGTTAATTTATTATTTGTAAGCTTCCAAAAACACGTTCATATTTAAGAGCTCTTTGAAGCATATAAGTTGAATTCCACCTTGTAGGAATATCTAAGCACAACCCATTTCAAATATCAATGTCACCAAAATTTTGAAGACATTGTTTAAATTTAATCATTCTATTTTCTGTATTGTATCACAATAAAAAAATTATTAGTAAAGTGGGTCGCGGGTTGACCCGCCCTCCCCTCTGCGAGTTGGAGGACGGGACCGAACGGATCGAAAGTACTAACCCGTCCCGCGAGCCCGACCCATTTTACTATATCTATGAACAACAAGAGAAGAGGGAGAATATTTGAGTAAAAGAATGTTTTCTATGATAAGTAAGGGTAAAACTTTTTAATTTCCTTTTTACAAATTTTAACTTTATATTAACTTTATTATAATAAAAAAATTATTTTTTTATTAATTAGGTGGACTGCAGACTAGCTCGCCTCAGTCCCACAGGTTAATCAGACATGTTAATGGATTCAACTAATTAAAAACACCAACTCGTCTCACCATATTATAGTGAGATGAAAAGTCGGGTCATCCGAGTTTGACTTGTTTTGACATCCTATATGTTACTATTGTTTCTAAAAAACGTTATTTTATTTTCATAAAAATATGTAAAACACATTAATTTATAAACACTGTCAAAAATAATTTTCAAAAAACTTCCCTGATTCTAGAACACGTATTTGGTTAATTTAAAAACTAAAAATCGAAATTAACCAATCTAAAATCATGTTTCGAAATTTTTATTTTTTTTTAAATTGGTCAGGTAATTTCATGATTATTATGTTTTTTGTTATGTTTTTTTTGAGTTAAGATGAATTATAATTTATATATATATATATATATATATATTTCTTTTTTAATTTAACGATATATTTAAAAAGAAAAAGATAATAATTTTAAAACAAATAATATTTCTATAATAAAAATTATCTATATAATAAATATGAGATTTAAATATTTTTGTTATTAAATATTAATATCTATATCGAAAATAAAATCTCACTCTACTCATCTTTTTTTATTTTTCTTTAACAAAATCATAATAAATAAAAATAAGTAAAAATTAACCTTGTTATTACACTAAATACGAGACTTGAGACCTGAGAATATGATAACTCAACCCGATTATCTAATTTAGCAACCAATCTAAAAAGTCATTCTGAATTATCCGGAAGAACGTCCCATTGTGGATTTTATTGAATTGTATGCTAATAAATTTTAAATTTGACATAGTTTACGTATGTAATAATTTTTGTGGGATGTAGCAGGACTGCATGCTAATAATTTTTAATTTAAAGTGTATAATTAATATTTTGGATTTTTTTTACTGAAATAAATATTTATTATATTAGATGTTAATATATTTCTTCTTATTAGATTAATACATTATACGTGTATCAGTTGACAAAAGCGACTTCTGATAGATTTAATAAAATTAATATGTACTTGGTGTCGTTAGTTTATCGTTTATTTTTTAGGACCGTATTGAATGAATTAATATTAAATTAGATATTATAAAATATGACCTGTGGCGTGGATTTTGCCAAGTATTGAATACACTCTAATGACGCAGGGATAAAGTGTGTTGTGATAACAACGAATGTACCGCGAAGTGTGCAGAGAGAAATAGGAAACTGAATTCCATGCCGCCATTTTCATTACCTCTGAATTTGAAATGGAGACCGTTGAATTTGAAGGCCACCGCTATCGCCACCAACACTGACAAGGTCACCGAGGTGCTGCTGCCGGAGAAAATCCGCAACTCGAGAGTTCTCGTCCTCGGCGGAACGGGTCGAGTCGGAGGATCCACTGCCATTACGCTCTCAAATTTGTGTCCAGATCTTCAAATCCTTGTCGCCGGTAGAAACAGGTCAGTCACGGTTCCCGTGCATCACACGCGCCGCCTCTAAAATCGTGTTTGCGAGTAATTCTAATTCGTGTGTGCATGGCACGTGTGACAGGGAGAAAGGTGAGGCTCTCACCGCTAAACTTGGCGGCAATTCAGAGTTTGCTCGTGTTGACATCAACGACGTGAATTCACTGGAAACTGCGTTGAAGAGTAAATTGCACTCGCTCGCTACCAATCCCCGTTCATTATCTCGTCTCTTGCTTATTAATTGAAATCGATTGTAACTGTTGTAATTGTGATTGCGAATCTGTACAGGTGTAGATCTCGTAATTCATGCCGCTGGTCCCTTCCAACGCGCAGAAAGGTGTAGCGTGCTTGAAGCTGCAATAAATACTAAGGTAGCTTTAATTTGCTATCATCGTTTCTGAATTGTTATGTTCAGTGTTCTGCGCTTCTATGCATGCATCTTCGCCTAAACACAATTTTAATTGTATGTTTTTGCTGCAGACTGCGTACCTCGATGTTTGTGATGACACGATCTACGCATGGCGAGCAAAATCCTTGATGAATAGGGCGTTGGATGCAAATGTTCCGGCTATAACAACGGCAGGAATATACCCTGGAGTTAGCAATGGTGCTTACCTACCCGTCGGCCTTGTTATTATGTTTCCAAAGCAGAACCAGAAATAATATGAAAATTATGCGATCGCCAATTTATACTATCGTAGTGATAGCACTTGATTATCAAAAGTAAATGTTAAAATCTACAGGGTCTCGTTTGACAAATTTCTCTGTAAACACTTCTAGGAGAGAGAATAAGAAGAAAAAATGAAATGAGATTTTCTTCAAGTTAAAATTAGCTTATACACAAATTAAAAATAATAATTTATAGAAGTTATACCAGAGAGGTTGTGTTGAGGAATTAATTAATGATGCATAAACTAATTTTGGCTTATGGAAAAGCTTGTTTAATCTTTTCTCTTATTTTCTTTTTCTTATAAGTATTTATAGAGAAACTTGTTCAAACATATCGATAGTGTTGATCTTAGTTTCACTCTTATTTGTACTCAATGGTGTGAGATCAAGTATGCATTTGCACTTTTGGTTGACCAATTCATGCTGTTTGTATGGTGCGGTTCCATCCATAACGCTTGGGTTCCTCCATGGGTTCATGACTAAAACAAGTTGAGGTGTACAAGTTAATTTTAACTTATGAGGGAAGAAGTTTTATCCAAATTGAGAATATGTTTCTATATATACAAGAGAAGAATGCATGCAGATTGACATCAATATTGTTTGTAGATAAGAGTGACGTTAGGGCAGATCATGATTTATGGTAAATGAAAATCTTGTTTACTCTGCCGTTTTTGGTTACTAACACTTCCTACAATTGTTTAGTCATGGCAGCAGAGCTAGTTCGTGCAGCAATTGAAAGTAAAGATACGCCAGAGAGGCTAAGGTTGGTGGATCTTCTCATATAATTATAAAGTTTAAGATTTCTTATTTTAAATTCAAATGTATTTTGGTTTATATGTCATTACTTATCTTACCTTCATATGTAATAATTCCTTGATATGTTATACCTAGACATGTTTGATAATTGATGATGAAATCTAAGATATTGCTCATTAAATACATCATTAAAGTCCTATGCTATTAAATTATTTACATTGTGGTATGCAGGGAATAAGTTCTTTCATTAATTTAATGCATTTTTTTTTTCAATTATCTGCTGAGGTGAAATAAGCATGGCCAGAAATATGGCCAAAAATAAAGAATCCAAAAATGACTAGAAAATTTTCTTGTTTGTTTATTTTCTGAGCTTCATGTTGATTCAGCACTTATAAGCTACTATATCAACTCAGATTCTACTACTACACAGCTGGAACTGGTGGTGCTGGCCCAACAATATTAGCTACAAGCTTCTTGTTGTTGGGAGAGGAAGTAGTTGTGTATAACAAAGGTGGTTGTCTAAAAAGCTTGTACTGGTTGTTTATTTTATCTAGATTAAATTACCATTTTGTTTGTAGGATTAAATGATGATGCTGGAATGTTCAACTAGGAGAAAAGATCACAATGAAGCCATATAGTGCAATGCTCAACGTGGACTTTGGAAAAGGAATTGGCAAAAGAGATGTTTATCTACTGTAAGTTTGATAATATATAGAAAGCATTGGAGGTCAGAATACCCCCTGGGACCTGACTTAAAAATTAAAATAAAAGTGCATGCTGTGAAGGTCATTTTTTTGGGCTTCTTTATGAAGCTTCCACTGCAAGAGTTAAAACAACAGTGATACTGCTTCATGATCAGTCCTATACAATAGATTTTCCACAACAAATTGATTTAATTATCCCTATATATTTGCTTTCTTCAGAAATTAGGATTCCACTTCAATACATGGTTTTCAGGAATTTACCGGAGGTTAGCAGTGCTCATGAGATTTTAGGAGTGCCAACTGTAAGTGCTCGATTTGGAACATCACCATTTTTCTGGAATTGGGGGATGGAAGCTATGACAACACTTCTTCCTTTGGTATACTCTTGATTCACTTGGACTGACTTAGTTGCAGATAAGTCTAATTGATAACCATATGCATGGAAATATTCTATAGATGTAATTTGATAGACTACTCCCTCTATAATGAAATGGTACTGCAAATTGTGATGCATCAGTTAAGAAGTATTTGCTTTAAACTTATTATGAGCTCTGGAATGTCCTTAAACCTGATGTTATGATGCAAACAAAGGAGGATAATATAGACAATAGTTAGTTTGGTAGGTTATGTGAACATTATACTAATCTTGGTTGATTTTTGGAAGCTTTGATTCAATTTATCTGAGCTGCAATCGGCCAGATCCTTTGGTATACACTATGTAATATTTGAGGTTATGCTAAGCAATGATTTCCTTTTAAAATTTAAATTTTTGCAATCTAAATTCTTTAATGAAATCTAGGGAACCATGAGGTGAAATATCAATGTGTAAAACCGAAACTCAGTGTTCTGTTTTAACTCTCCCTACTAGTAACTTAGAGGATTGTTATTCGCTTTCAAAATATATTATCATGAAACTAAATTCATTTACATTATCTTTATAGTCTACTTTTCTGTTTTATCTGTTTATTTTGATAATATTATGTTAATAGCAATAGAAAGGAGTTCAAATATTTAAATGGAAGAGATCTGTAAAAAACTTGATCAAGCTGTGATTTTTTCTTTCAATATTGAACTGTAATTTTGTTTGAAAAGGCATATTCAGAGACAATGTGATAGGTAATTAAACTGAATCCGTATATTTACTGTTTGAATTTTAATATGAGTGAGATATTGGTTTCGTTCAGACAAAGTGTGCTAATTGAAAACTCACCAAAAGAAAAGAAATACAAGTGGAAAAAAGAAGAGAGACTGCAGGAACCTCGGATGATCTGCTTCCTCCGACCTAAAGCCTCATTCACAATTACCCCCGTTTTCCCTCCTGTTTTTTCTTCTAATCTATTCCCTTTATCAAGTTGTTACAATGCACCCTCACTATGGGCTGATCACACTTGCACACTAGTCGCAACAACATCTATCCGATGCTGCCATTCCCCTTCCTTGATATTCTGCACCTAAGTATAAGAGAACTATCAAAATGCAATTGGGATAATAATCTAACAGCTTTCCATTCCCTAGAAATTAACAAATCTGAAGTTATTTTTTTCTAGTTTCTTGTTAGTAGGAGAATGTTGGATTTTAGAATCAATATTTGTTAGCCATAATCTCCTCTGCAACGTGATATTTGATTGTCTTTGGTTGAAGGCAAGAGGGAGAAACTTTTTAAATTTTATTTCGTTTGATTAAAAAATTAGAGGGCTAAGCGGTCGTCTCGCAATTTTGCCTCCCTTGAATAGTGGGTGGGGGATTTGGACATTAAATTGCCCCATAAAATATATTTTATCTTTCATATTTACCATTACTACATGAATAAAAAAAAAATGCCCATTACTGTTTAATAGTATTTTTGCGGGATAACACTAAATTATCCATATTTTCCCTCCTAAATCTAACAAGATGACATTTGGCAGGCATTCTTTTTCAGGCATTCTTTTTCTTTTCTTGAATGAAACGAGATAAGAAGACCTCTATTTCTCTCCTCTACCATCCCTGCCCCTCTATTTAAATCCCTCGGCCCCCTTCTCTCATTCGATACGCATAAACATAATAGCAAGCTGTGTAAATATAAAAAGAAAATTAGGAAGATTAAGGTAACGAGAAAACATATCATGAAAATCGAATTAAAGTTTATGTTGTTGATTATTCTGCCAATGACTTGCGATTAAACGTGCAGGAATTTCTGAGAGACAGATATAGAGTCCAAATTTTGGTTCAGTTGTTTGATCCTTTTGTAAGAGCATTGGATGGGATTGCTGGAGAACGCGTATCAATGAGGGTGAGGGGAATGTAAAGGGTTAAACTATTAGTTGTTTAACCATCTTTTTCTTCTATAAGTCACGTAGTTGTTTGTTATAATGTTTTAAAGTGCGAATATTAGCTAATTATAACCCTCCCTCCCAATGCACAGGTTGATTTGGAGTGCGCAAGTGGACGCCATACTGTGGGTATATTCAGTCATAGGAAACTTTCAGTGTAAGTTTACCTTTTCTGTTTCTTTTGAGTGAACAACTGTCAGGGGATACTAATTTCATAATCACGGAATATAGTTTCTTTTTTATTAGTAATGACGAATGCAATGGGCACGTTTTTCAGATCTGTAGGATTTTCAACAGCTGCTTTTGCCCTTGCGATTCTGGAAGGAAGCACTCAGCCAGGAGTTTGGTTTCCCGAAGAGGTATGCGTGTCTACTTCTCGTTTATTCTTTGCAATTTAAAAGTGAAATACTGAACACTTTTGGCAAACAAACATATGACAATTTCATCGAATTCTACATGCAGTCTCAAGGAATTCCTGTTGAAGCAAGAGAAGTTCTCCTCAAGCGTGCTAGCCAGGGAACGTTTAACTTTGTAATGAACAGGTAAACTTCTAATCTTAGTGCTGGTGTTATATATAGTATAAATGATGACTTATTATGGAAATGTTAAGATTTTTTTCTTTTCGATTTCTGAAAATAAACAGGTCGCCGTGGATGGTTGAAACAAATCCAAAGGAGTTCGGGTTAGGAATATACTTATAAGTCCTCTCGCATCAGAACAAAAGTGAAATTCAGTAAAATTCATTTTATTGTATTGCAAGGCTGTAAGTGTATTATTGTTCTTGAGACATCGTTCTTTTTAATGCATGTACGGGATTAATCGACGTGATGTCCATAAGAACAATGCACACTATGCCTATCTATTTTGATTTGTTAGATGAAAATGACCGATAGCCTTCTCCGGTAAAAAAAAAAAAAAAAATTTTTTCATTTGTGATTTTACTTTATCAGATTTTATCTGTGACTAAGATGTTCCTTCTAAAATTCCCCCTTTTTCTTTTTATGGAAGCAGCTAAGGAATATCAATACTTACTTTTAAAATTCAATAATAAAAACAAGAAACTCCAGGAGAAAACACGAACCAAACTATTAACTAAAGATGAAGCTAAATTCTAGTCATCAATTTTTCAATTAAGGGTTACTTACTCAATTTGAAACCGATGCAAAATAGTGTGCATATTCAAGATATTATTATAGTAAATAATCTATGTACTTAAAGTATAATGAAATTTTACATTTTTATCCAATCACAATGTATGGTGCAAATTTTTCAATTTGCGCTCAAGAACAAAAAGGATGTATATATATTATGATTTCTGATTTGTTTACAGTATATGTATAGTTTTTGTCTCTTTTAGAAGCATTGGTTTAATTAATTGACTAAATTTACGTTAGATGATGTTGAAATTTGACACATGCTTTTAGTCCCAGCCTTTACCATAAATGTTTCGCAATTGGATATTGGTAGGATTACTGACTCACGAGTGCTAAGTTGAAATTGTTCTGAACTCTTTCTACAGAAGCCCAAATGTGTTTGGTAATTACAATAGTTGTAGTGGTATAATTTAATTTCGTCTGTACATCTCAATATCAATTTGTCAGTAAAATATACACGTCTTAAAAAAAAAACATACCTCACTCAACCATAATGCAAAATTTTCAAGCTTCATGTGCTGGTTTTAGCAGCCAAACTGCGAAGTTCATGGTCAGCTGTATAAGAAGACAAAACTCTCAGAGTACAACCATCTTGTCTTTCTCTTGCCAAGAGAAAAATTCTACCTCCCTAAGTAACCAGTGACATTGACTACCCAATGAGCTTCAACTGCTACGTCATCAGTTGTAGAATTATGTACATCTTGGATCCCTACTAACTCGAAGGACTGAACCCTCGAAACAGTTGGGCAATGCAGCACCAAACTTGGCATAATGCGTAAATTCAGAAGCCCAAATGCAGCGATACACTTTAAAGAGTCAAACAGAAACCCATAATCCTCATGGGATTATCATTCCGTGCAGTTTTTTTTATTTCCTGCTTGATCGGCCAGGTTCAGAACCTCGAGTGGATGAATAACCGTAAGATCTATAAGCCTCTCTCCACTGTCTTCTGCTGCTTTGTTCAAATGGGTAATACTGGGCATCCACATTGTTTCTACCAAAAGGTCCATGCCGTTTCTTTTGGGAATTCCTTATTTCTTCTTCTTCATCATAACGAGCCCGCTGCATAAATGGAATAATGACCACATGAATATCATACGCTTAAAGCTTAAAAAAATTAAATGACTTCCAGGAATCATGGTGTTTTTCTACATATCCAGGGGAAATGCACAAGTACAAACACAGCAAGTGATAAACTTGCAAGGAAAAGTCCTGCTGCTTTACCAAACGATTCTTTAGTAAATGCAGAACCAAAGCAGGTCTTTTTCCCTTATACGCTAAGGTTTACTTATCTATCGCTGTTATTGATGCACATTTATTATTTGACAATTCCACAGCTTTAGTATATTGGACCATTCACATTATGAAAAGATATCCAACTACCTTTTCCTTTCTTCGTGGAGCATCATGTTACCAAGAAAGAAAACACGTCAAAATATGCATCATCGGTCCTTTGCTGTAATATCTAACGAAAAAATGGGTTTCTATCTAAGGAAAGAAACTTGTCAAATTCCTTTATGCTAGATATAAGCTATAGTTCATTGGTAGCTGCTACCTTGTTTTAAGGAAAAGGGACTTCTCATATAACATGTCAAGTGAAAATTCTTCTACCAGTAAATGGGATTGACTACGAGGATTAAATGACACAATTCCACAGAAAAACCAACCTTCTATATAAACTAATATAGAGAGCAAGCCTCTCAGCAACATTTATTAGTCGAAAATATACAAAATACCTTGGCAGGGTCTGACAGGACAGCATATGCCTCCCCAATTATTTTGAAAAGCTTATCAGCATCTCTGTGTACTTCTTCAGCAATTACCTTCCATATCTGATCATCTACATTGTCACTTCTAGTCAAAGACTGGCCAGCCTACACAACAAGATTAAACGTTAACAGAGTGATTACTAATTAGTATGAACCCCAAACAAAGTACACAATCAAACAACCTTGTCCGGGTGGTGCCTAAGTGCAGCTTTTCGATAGGCCTTCTTGATTTCAGATATCGAAACAGACGGTTCAACTCCCCTGCCATCATAATGTCAGTTAGCTGATATACTTAGAATGATAATATTTCCCTACACTAGCAGCAAATAGGATTTTAGCTGGCATGAGGTTTTCTGTCACAGTTGTAAAACAACTTGACACAGAATGATAACAATAACAACATAAGCTTTATTTAGCACGAATTTTAACATATTTAAACTGGGCCAATCAATTTTCTGCTCCACCAATCAAAAAGAAAATAAGCCAATATGCTCATCACTTTTCATAACTTTAAAACATGCAAAAGTGGAAGTAATGGTACCTTTGAGGAAGGCAATTTAGACTACTAGAAAAATGGGGTTAATTAATATATTATCAATGATAAGATAAAGAAGTTATGATTATTACAAGATGAGGTACATATCCAGAGGGATCTCCTTTCTGGCTTCTTCTTCCATTTCAGAAAGCCGAACACGATTTTGTTTTAAATCATTAGAATAATTAATTGATTTATCAGATATCCCAAGCTGATTGGCATTGTCCTCCACCCCCTTACAGAGAAGACAGACAAGCCTCCTCAGATCACTGGCCGCTTGGGCATAATCTCTGATAATCTCATACAGAGTCGCACGTCTAGAAAGTGCCTGCAAGAACATGAACATTTTGCTCATACTTATCAAATAAATTGAAGTCCTAAATAATACTTCAATGGCATGTAAAAATAGATATATTTGAAAATACAAAAAATTAATATGCATTACTACTCTATAACAGAACGTAACAAACACTTAGCTAAGACTTATTTATACTCTGATTGATCTAAAACACAATTATAACATCTCAAACGAAAAATGAAACAATGGTTAAAGAGAAAAACCTTCAAATAATTTCCATCAAGAGCTATAGCTAGACTGCAATCTGCAATAGCATCAGTTATTTGACCTAAAGCTTTATAGGCAGCTGCACGATTACAATAACAGACAGCTGCAAATGGACGAGACTCCACATTACACGACAAAGCAGCTGTATAGTGTTCAACGGCTTCTGCATGCCTTCCAGCTTGAAATGCTGCATTCCCTGCAGTCTACATATGAATAGATTTACAACAATCCTAATCAACAGCAATTTTCATGCTGCAGGTAAAGGACAGAAATGCAAAATGAATTAAACAAACAAAAACTTCTTAGAATAAGATATGAACTTCAATTGTTTTCTTCAGTCTTTTGATGATTGAATAGTTGTACTTGAGTAGAGTATAGAAACACAAAGGAAGAGGATAAACTATCAAGTTATAGAAAATTAGGGTAATGTTGGTGTGTGATGGATATTCCGATGCGTTTGCACAAGGTGTTGGTCTACTTAGTTGTGTTAATTCAAATTCTACAGTATATGAACATAAATACCACAAAAGCAGCCTAAGGATCAGTCTAAGAATCTGTCTGAGGCTGTGTGCCTTAAAAAAAGTAAAATATCTCAAATAGAACAATTTTAGAGCTTTCCTCAGAACCTAAAAATACAAATAAAAAGAGAGCATGTGCAGAATGACTGTCGCCTACAGCAATAGCAAGCATAATCAGTAGAATTGTTGAAATAAATGCTTTTTGGTAAAAAGATTTACACTGCCAATAAAAAAGGTTCATTTTAAAAGTCATTTGAAAACTCAAGATTGTCCAAAAGACTCTATATTAGAATAAAATAATATACTCAAGTAAAATAGCTAAAATAACAATTAGCTCCCATGACAAAATAGAAAAGCAGAATTACTTTGAAACAGTGGAAATGTTCTAGGAATCGAGGTATTCAACAAACAATAATATAAACAATCAACATATAGATATCATGAAACACAGCATAAGCTAACCTTATGATGCAAGCGCTCGCGTAAGATGGCAGCTAGTGGTATGAGTGAATCCAAAACCTTGCTTCCACTCCTGCATGAACAGGATCTAAGGTGATTAGAAAAAGGATTATAGCTGTCACATATTCACGTTTCACTTTGCCCTTTTCTGTTTACACATGAGGAGGGGTAGAGTGGCGTGAATGAGTCAGAGTGCATACTTGTTTATGGCAGACATCTTTTCCTGTTGTTGCTCCAGTAAAGAAAGGCCCTCTTCAAATTTTCCTAGGTGAAAGTAGGCTTTAAGCATCATTGAGCATCGCCAAATTCTGAAGGAGAAACCTTTGGCAAGTTGTGAGTTATCCAAATCTGTGACTTGGCAATCAGCATCCAGTGGACAGGCATTCTTCTCAGCAGAATCAAGTGTCTCGATACACAGACGAATCACCTCCTCATATCTACAAAGCTGATACGTGTAGCAAAAGTTATCCAACACAGACATAATTGGTGGCAATTGTTGCACAAATAGATTCATGCTGAATTTCAAGATAGTCATAAATCGTAATCTAAGCTTTAGTGAAATTCCATCATATTATAAGAGTCACTAACCATTAGCAGAGCCTCTGCTTTCATTTCAAGCAATTTTTCAGAGTATGAACTTATCATTAACGCCTCATTAATATGTTCCAGTGCCCTTTCTGCATCAGAGGATGTTCTTCTTAGCAAAAGCTGAGCAGAATGATTGATGACATCTGATACTTTCTGTCATATCGATTAAAAACACTAATTAGTTCAGAAAGTGAGGAACCGACATTCTCATCACACATTTAAAAAATTATAAATTCAAAAACATTGGGATCTTGCTAAAAGATGAATGGAGAAGGAAATGCAAAAATATTAACAAAAGGTTTAAATACGTTTTTGGTCCCTCCATGAAAAGGATTGTAAACAAGTTCCTTGAAACAGTCCCTGCTATTTTCTCAAATTATAACATTGTTAGAGCAAATCTGATGCAGCTAACGAATTTCTGACGGTATGTGTGATAAAGCTTTACTCATTTTTGCATTTTGATCCCAATATATAATACATTTTTTTTCATTTGGTTCCCATAAGAAGGAATCTTCTAAATTAGTCCCTACACATACCTGAACATAGTGTGGAGGCAAAAATAGGAACCATGCAACAACAAAAAAAAAAACATTACAATTAAACATAATGAATCTGAGCAAATTTTACCATGGGTGACCAATAAAATGAAGATGTACAACTTATTAGAAAATGGATTAAGCTTTAATTCAAACCTACAAAATCGGCTTATAAGATAAGGCACAAACCTACTTTTATACTATAATTTGATCATATATCCACTACTCACTCAAGAAAATTTCAGTGGATTCACTCCTTTTCATCCTCCATAATGAGTACAACCTTAGCCAACTCTCAAAAACCATCTTCTTGTCACAACCTCCATAAAACCACCTTGTTTAAAGTCAGAGTACTAGCTTTTGGGTGTCACAACCATTAATTTGTGTGTTTGAGAAAGCAAAGAAAGCACTCTTTTGTTCTACTCCTTCATTTTATAAGCCAAAACTCATGTCAAATTTGCTCAAACTTCACTTAATATATCTTGATTTTTGTTTTGTTGCATTGTGCTTTTTGTTTGCCTTCACACTGTATCATATCTAGGGAATAATTTTAACAACAACTTCATCAAGGAACAAATGAAATGATACATTACATACAAGGATAAAAAAATAAATCAGTAGAGCTTTCTTATGTGCTTGAAATGTGTTAACCATATGAGACTTGCTGTCAAATGTTACAACATTAAAGGACTATTCAAAGATTTTTATTTTTTTTCTCAAGGGTTAGATATAAGGATCCAAAAGGTATTAGAACCTTAAACAAATATTTACAATACATGTTTTGAGAAATATGATAGAAACTACTATACCCCAACTAATTATCTCTTAAGCCCCAAAATCAAATGTTGAAACATATTTAAAACACACACACACACACACACACACACACACACATATATATATATATGTGTGTGTATGTGTGTGTGTATGTAAGTATATATATGTATGTATGACAAAGGCTACCATGGACAAGTTCTTTAAGTGGTTACAATGAAGCAATTATATCTACCACTAGATTCATCTCATCTTCATATTTGTATCCTATATCACCCACATCGGATCCCTCTCCTATCCCTTTCTCTCTCTTCCTCACAATCGGAACACTTTTCATCTCCCTTTCTCTGACCTCTTCCTCCTCCCCCATTCAACCCACCACCCCTACCTCTTTACCAGAAAGCCCATCATTTGCAACTTTGCATCCAACTTCTCCCACTATGCTACCTCTTAACCCTCCCTTGTCATCCTTGATGTTCAAACGTTCCATCATTTATCACTACCTTCTAATTGCCACCATCCCGGGACAGATTCACCTTATCATGGAGTTCACCATTGTCGATGCTCTTTAAGAGAATCTCTGTTTACTAGTGTCGACAACGCAGTGTTACTTCCAGCAGTTGGTCTCCATTTTCGGCTCTACCACAGGGGGGCAGAGTTGCACAAAGAAAATCTCAAGTTGCAGAAACTCCTCCTTGATGGCAATGACAACCTCAAAATCTCCAACTTTGGGTTCTTCGCACTGTCCGAGCAGGTCAAGTATAATCTCCACACTGCAGGCATGTTCCTATTGTAATGCAAATTGGGGGAAATCAACCAGTGTCTACCTCTCACACTTTCATTTCCAAAAAAATTTCAGATCTTTAAATTTGTTCCATTATTTCCATAATTTTTCTTATTTTTTATTCTTGTAATGTTCCTTGTCACGTAATTCTTGGTTAAGCAGATTTTCTATCTGTGAATTTCATGAATGATCATTGTTCATATCATAAGAAATAAAAAATTTCTGAATCTTCTATTTAGGTTTTTCTGTGGGGGGTGGTGGGGAAATGATAAGTGTAAAAAATGCCGTCATCATAAATAGCCTCCAGTAGTGGTGAATGGCTATCAGAGGAATTGTTGGGATGGGAAGTAAACAGTGTAGGAGTAGACATGATTCCTTGTAAAAAATGTAGGATATCTGTGTTAGACGTAGACTAATCTAATTGTAAATAATAACTAGTGCACTGCAGACCAACTTTTAAGGTGGTCCACCATAGTAGCTTTCGCCGTATCCGTATGTGTGTGTGTGTGTATATATATATATATATATATATATATATATATATATATATATTGAGAGAGAGAAGAGGCATCAGTTCCCTCCAAAAGGAAGAGTTATAGACTTATTCTTCATTCTTATTTTTTAATAATCTAATGGTCTAAAATAATACTTGAACCCTTATATATATATATATATATATATATATATATATATATATATATATATATATATATATATATATTGAAAACTGATTAAATGTACTTTAAACCCTTGAAAGATTTCATGTAGAAGGGTACTGATAAATTCTATGTGAAACCAGCTTGCTCTAACAGGCTTCTAATTTGAACTCATTGCATATGCAGCCTGTAGCTAATTAAAAATCATTAACCAAAAGGAAAAGCTAATCATCAAAGACTCCAAGATATATCGAGTTATCTGTCAAAAACATATTATAAATAATCGAACCTGTGCCTTTTGTAAGCCATCAGAGGCTTCCACCACAATTTTTCGATCAACACAAACATCAGTTCCCGATTGCAAACATCTTTTAAATTTCTGTGATGCACCTTCAACTTCCCCCAGAGCAAGGTAACAACTTAAACAAGAATGAACAAAAGGACTTCAGGTCTACAATCATCTATCACAATACATGAAACTTTAGACAAGGTGCTAGACACTTCTGTTATTAATAAAATGTATTTCCAAATGAGCCTTAACGTGTTAATAAGATGTATTTCCAAATAAGTAAAGAAAGCGCAAACCAAATGAGCCTTAATGTGTTCACACGCTTTCTTTGGGTTCTCACGTTATATCATTTTTTTTTTTACATCATGAATCATTACTAGTTTCCCACTAGTGTTATATATACTAAGGTTTTACTCATCCTACGTGAAACTTAAAAATCATTGTACCAAGGAAGTCGGAAGAAATAATGGAAACTTACTTTGCAGCTCTAAGTTGCACCTTGAGGAAATTTTGATCTATTTCCGCAGCCATCTTACAATCCTCCAGTGCATCTCTCATCCTACCAAGAGACATGTGTGTGGCAGCAAGGTTGCTATAACATAGCAGGAAAGCCCTGAGACAGCTCCGAGATGCTTCTACTTTAGATACACAACTCAATCCTTCTTTGTAACAATTCTCAGCCGTAGACAGATCCCCCTTTTTATAGGCTTGATTTCCTCTGATATAAAGCATATTCAGTATTGTGAATTATGGTTGCAATGTTGGTAAAGTATTATGCCAAAATAATTTCAAAGTTACTCGAAAAAATCCATTTGTGAGCGATTGCTGTGGACTTCATGCTATATATTGTACTCTTTTTCAGTATAGAAATCAGAAGCAATTGTAAAAAGCCAAGGGTTACATAAGAAACAAGTAACCGACAAATAAGAAATGGAACTATCAAGTATATATACTCACCGAAGCCTCCACTTTTCACAGGCTTCCTGAGCAGCAACGGTTGCAACAGAAATAGAAGCGGAAGTCTCCCTTGACCCCTTCTCCTCATTTTCATCAGAATCACTTGTTTTGGGCTGCGTAGAGGATACCTTGGGTTTTAACCCTTGCCCTGATGTGAAAAGAGATGAAGTTCCAGAAAATGGCGTAAATGCCACGGAAGATGGTGAATAAGGAACCTTTATGTTTGGCGCGTAGTTGCAAGAATCGTGACCAACATTTTTCTTTTTGTGATGTCGTTTTGGATTACATGATTGAGCTTCAGCTGAAGAAGCAGCCGCAAATGTGAAGGCAGACCCACTTACTTTTCTTGAACTAAAAGAACTACCAACATGCAACAAATTATCACTATGGGCTTCGGTATCTTCTGACACACAAGCTGCATCACTGGTTACGTCCACCTCATCATTGGCAGACTTAAAGCTTTCAGTTTCAACCCCAGAAATGGACTCATCCTTCGGGTCTTCAACAGAACTATTTGCAAGCATTTGATCCTCTGAAATTTCTCGGTTTGTGTCTCTGCAGTCAACATCTCCCCCATTTATATTTAAGCTCTCTGTTGCGGCAATTAGATCTTCATCAATGGGATCAACAGATGATGTTGGTACTGAATCATCAACTACAGGGTTGTTATCAATACTAGATAAGTCATTGGATGTCAAAGAACTTTCCCTGGACCTTTCATTTTCAGCCAGCTTTTCCTGATATGGTGACACATCCATCGGTGAACCCTGTGGTTCGCCTTGGGGAACACTTTCTTTCAAAACAAAACGCTCTCCATGCCACAGCTGGGTTGAGCTGTAATGCCTCAGATTTTCTCGACTTTTACTCATTCTCATTTTACTACTTTTTTGCTTATGTTTTCCTTCTTTGACAACTTTTGGTGCTGGTGTTTTAAATTCAACAAATGACGAGCTTGAATTATCTTGTTTACCAGTAAACACAAATCCCTCTCTGTTGCTCACTCCAACAGGCTGAAAGAATATAGAAGACGAAGCCGACGCAGCACTTTGTGACACTCTACTGTCTTCAGAAAAACCTTGAGCACCACCACCACCACTTGCACCTCTACGGTCAATTCCATCGGAAAAAGGATCGCACAAATTCGGTTGAACACAATCCTCCTTCTTCTCCTCAACTAGGTTTAACTTCTCCAAAGTCCTCAACAAATCCGCTTCGGTTTCACATTTTTCAAACGTAGTCACATTCCCCAAACTAGGTCTAAAATCAACTTTACTCTTGAGAACACTACTACCAAAAGAGTTATTTATATTCAGATTCTTCAATTGACATAAAACTTCATGAGTTGAGTTCTCAGCAGCAGCATTATTACCTCCACCTTTCTTGATGTTCAATTTCTTTTTCAGGTCATTCCGTAGGTCCGATTCGTTTAAACCAGTACCACCTTCGGCTACAATCTTCAACTTGTTCATCTGTTCAGAGGCTGGGTTATCATCAACACGCGAAGAAGCATTAGTGGCGAACGCGAATTCACCGCGCCGTGGGGCGTCGAAACCCTCGCCGATTTTGAGATTCCGTAATCCATCGCCAATTCCTGAAGCGAAATCGGGATTGTCGAATGCGGCATTGGCAGCAGCACCGTTGCGAAATGGATTGAAAGCGGGGGCGTTGTTTGGCTTCCGAACCTTGACGAATCTGGGCCGGGACAGGTTCGAAACGGAAGAGGTGCTATTGAACGTGAAACCTGAGGTTGAGGTCGTCGCGTTCACGTTGGCCTTCGCTTTTGGATTCGAAAACATATTACCATCACTGGCGTTGAGCGATTCCATGGGTTGGTTGGGGCGTTTTGGATTTTCGATAATCCAAATCGAAGGAGAGAGGGTGGTGGCGCTGCCCTAGTGAGACGGAGCAAGACGCCGGAGACGCGTCGGAATCATCGGAGTGGTGATTGAATCGCCGATTCTTCTTCTTCGGGTTTCGATAATCATTGGAACGCAACGCAACAAAATATGTCTGGTATAAATTTAAAATTAATTGCAACTAATAACTAGTGGTTTTTTTTCTTCATTTTTTTTTTCTCCCTCTCTTTCTCTCTTTAAAGTTACAAATATGAGAACGTGTACTCTAATCCTATAAAGTCTTCTTTGTTCCTTCCCAAATATTTTTTTGTGGCCTTTTTCTGATTAAACAAAGAGAAAGTGTTAAACGTTTACAAGATTTGCTCCTTGCATTTGTTGTGTAACATCCACCCTCTATTAATATCTCTTTTTTTTTTTTTTTTCTTATAACTTTACATTGCATGTTGTGTTAACTTCTCCTTTAATATATTATCAACAAAAATTAAATTTTTATGTTTATTATTAATATATTATTAAATAGAAGTTGTTGAATGTATGTTTGCACGTTTTGAAGTATATATATTCTTTTAATAATTGGTTCAAACAAAAATAATATTTTATATTTTTCTTAAAAAATAGTATTATGTGGCAAAAGAGTGAATTTTAAATCGATCTTCACGTCTTTTATTAATAGGAAAAGTATTTACAATCTTTACTTAAAATTTGTTTTAATCTTATAATATTACATACATTTTAGTATTTTAGACCACAATGTAAATGACTGCATTAAAGTTCAAGAGGCTTTTCATATAATTCACATTTCAATGGTTAAGTAAAATTTAAATGTTTATGCATTGTCAACGTAATAAAATATAATTATTTTAAAGAAAAAAATACATTAACTTTTGCTAAACATACATTAAGAATTAAAAATATCTTATAATACCTAATATATAATAAATAAATAAAATAAAAAAATTGTCATCCACTCTTACCTTTATTTTACTTTAAGATTTAAAAATTTTAACACTATTTTTATCTATTATTATAATATTATTCATAAATTTATATTATTTAAGAGTTAAGGTAAAGAAAATATTATATACATATATTTTCTTTTAATTTATTAAAAAGATCTTTTAAAAACAAAATTCTAAATGGAATTAAGTTTGAACTCTAATAATATATCTGAGATCTAATAATATATCTGAGATGTGAGTGAAGATCAAAATATTTATATTGAGTTTGGATTGGGGAAGGAGGATTTGAGGAGTTAATTTGAAAGGATTTAGAGTGGTTAATAGAGTTGTTTGGATTAAGAAAAAAAAAAAAGAGATTTGAAAAGATTTGATTAAATTTATTGTAAGTGATTTGATTGATAAAAGTGATATAAAAAAATTGAATAATAATTTTTTTAATACATTGACCAAAATATTCTTATTATTATAATTAATAAATTAAGTAGAAATGATAATTATAATATAATTGAATATAATAATTAATTAATTTATATTGTAAATAATATTTAAATATATTAATATTATTTTATATATCAAGTATAATTAAAATTATTTTATATATTAACTATAAAATATTTTTTTGTTGTAGTTTAAATTATATATTTAAAAATTTTGGTATTTTGAATAAATATTTAACAAAATAAATTGTATTATCTTAATAATAATTTATAGTTTATTATACATTTTTCTAATTTTTTTTATTTCACATTAAGTACAATAATTAAATAACATTGAAATAAAATACAACATTGTTATTCAATGTGCAATAATATTAAATAATTAAATAAGACATCTTATTAAATTCATCCAAAAAAAAAAGTAAAGGTAAATATAGTACAGTCATTCAATAAATAAAGACAATTATAGTACAATTATCCAACATGATAGACGGTCCTAGATATCCTATAACAACTAAGACGAGTCACTGATTGATGTCGTACTCGATTAAATAATTAAAACAGATAAATGTAGTACTAGGAAGCTTTCTTAGGTCGTCTTCCAAAGACCACGAATTTCTATCAATGTTTGTCAATTTTTAGAATTAGAACAACAACAAAAAGGGGAATTTTCTGATTTAAAATATTAGATGAAATAGAACAAAAGCAAATTATAAAAATACGAATTAAAAACATATTAGAATGCAATTGATTTCATGATTCCAATGTAGTGTCACTTATCCTAGGTTACAAAATTAATTCGAAATTAACTAACTAAGTGAAGATAAATCCCAAATTATATTTCAATCCAAAATTAATCAACTAAGCGAAGATTAATCCCCAATTAGCTTTAACCCTTATTCCAATATGAAATTAATCAACTAAACGAAGATTAATCCCAAAATTTCCTTAACCCTTATTCCAACATGAAATTAACCAACTAAGCGAATATTAACCCCAAATTATCCTTATACAATTAAGCATTGTATACATCACATAATATCATCTCTAACACAAAATTAAACAAACTTTGATATTAGTTTTAGTTTATTAAGCATAAACATATTATAATTCAATACTGAGATTAGAAGATGAAGAGTTAAGAGAATAAACGAAATGAAATTGAAGAAAAAAACCTCAAAAATCTACTTGCATTCTCCTCAAAAAATCAATACAAAGATTTAGATATCCATGAAAAATTGAAAATGCAGAAGAAGAGACATAATTAAAATCGAAACACGAATTTAAAATAATGACAGAAGAGTAAACAAAATTGAATACAACTTACAGAAGATGAAAGACGATTGCGTGACTGCTGCGTGGTGTCGTTCTCCCTTAACCCTACATCTCTCACACATAAATAACCCTAACCCTAATCTTAATATAGGTTTTGGGTCCAACTGGTCCACAAAACACATCATAAGTTGGCTTCAGTGCAGGTCCGCCAACTTCAAACACGTGCATTATTTTCAATACTTATCCAAATTAAGCGATTTTGGTCTCCTTTGAAAGCCTTTTGAGTTAGCTTTAAAACTCTACCATTTATACTATTTTCGGAGGTCTAATGAATTTAGGAGACTTAAATTACTGAAGCATGTCCATTGGGTCGGCCTGGTGCGCTTGACCCGTTTTGGATAATTTATGTAAAATCCAATTTAGCTTCGAATTGAATGATTATGAATCCTCTAGAAAGCTGAATGTGTCTAGTTCCAGTTATGATTTTGGATAATTTATGTAAAATCCAATAATGCTTCCAGAATTATGATTTTTCGAGCTCTGTAGAAAAAATGATAAATAAAACAGTGAACCAATGTTAGTTCCCATGTAGAATAAAATATGACATTCGGCCCAATTTTCGAAACCCAAAATTGCTTTAAACTGTAATATGGCATCTGGCTCAATCTTCTAGGCCCAAAATTGCTTTAAATTGTCCTGAAAATAATAATGAGCAAAAATTAGATCAAATAGATTCAAATTAATTAAAATCTGAATTATTGGCCCAATGCAGCCCAATTAATAAAAATTCACTAATAACAAAAATTTAAGCCCAAAACACTAATTAAAATAAGTCTAGAAAGGGAAGAAAATATGAGAATATAATGACTCATCAGCCACCACCCTAATGTGCTTCAACATGTAATTCAGTCATAAGTGTGGTGGGAGGCAAAAAATCATCTCCTTATGGACGGGGTTTTTATTGATAAATTCATAGCACTATAGGTGATCGTTCAAAAGGTTAAGCTCACATAACATTTGTTATATATCTGATGCAGTGTAATGTGGTGTAACAGAGCTCCTCTGGATCATAATGTGTTCAATGTATAAGTTTGTTCGCCTGCGCATCTCAACGGCCTAAGCCTCTACGGTAACAACCTGGCACTCCACCAAGTTTGTCAACTTAGTTGAATATCTATTATTCTCCCCCATCCTATCCACCATTTGGTGGATCCCTGTGTTTATCATTTCAAACTATGAATTTTAGATCAACATCGACCATGTGGGTTTTCCTCTTAGAGCCCCTAGATGAAGAGGTGTCACTAGATAGGGCAGATGGGACAGATGGAGAGACGTCAGGACGGTACGAATCGACTCGTGGAGGACTGGACTGCACCTCAGTAAATGAGGGAGTGTAGTCTTGGTGGAGGAAGAGATTTGCAACATCTTCATTTAGGTCAACGCACAAGTCAATTGTGAACCTACATCGTTGTCGAACCTGTCAAGCGGTCCCGGTTACATGCCCTGTGGCATGATCAGCTCCCCATAGCTCTTCCCACAAGTCATAAAACTCAATGGACATTTTGCAATAGATGGTATTTCCTGAGATAAAATATTTTCATACACGTTCAGACATCGTTGGCTATTATAATTAAAGTGTAAAATAGTTACTTCAACATTAATACCTGAATCAAGTCTTGTCAAACTTCTATTAGGAATCAGAGTAACTGCATAAGAACTCACAACTAAAATAAAAGATGAGAAAAAAAATAAACAAACAAAATCGACAATAGACAATAATAGAATTTTACTACTGGAAAAAATTACAATACCCTCTTTAAATCGAAGGAGAAAACAATAATAATATTCCCTCTCAAAAATAAGAGAACTCAACTACTATGTAATGCACTAGTAAAAAGGAGAAGAAAGAGATTTGGAGTGATTTACAAGGTAGACATTGTGCTCCTTTTATAACAAGAAAAATAAGCACCAACGTATAATTTCCTTGATGTGGGACTTCTCACATTCTCACAATCTCCCACATGAAGAGTGCTCCTACCACCAACATGTCATCCTACCACCAACATGTCATCCACATACAATGACAATATGATAAAATCATTCTCATCAAATCTATTGTAATAGGCACAATAATTTGAACTTAGTCTGTTGTAATCAAGACTAATAATGAAGAATCAAATATCTTATACAACACCTGGACACTCAGTTTAAACCATACAGAGATTTGGACAACCTACAAACCAAGTTTCATTTTTCTCTAAGTCTTTTGGTTGGAGCACTCCAATCATTTCTCTAAATT